TACTTCACGCCACCTCCAAACCCCACCGCGCCCCTTCCCGCCCTGTCAAAATCCAGGAAAGAAGGGAAGGAAGGAAAGAAGGAAGAAAGAGAAAGGGAGGTAAAGAAAAAGGGGGAAGGAAGGAAAGTTAGAGAAAGAAGGAAGAAGAAAAGGAAAGAAAAGGAAAGATGGAAGGAAAGAAAAAGAGAGAGAAGAGAAAGAAAAAGGGGAAGGAAGGAAAGAGGTAGAGAAGGAAGAAAGGAAAGAGAAAGGAGGAAAAGAAAAAGGGGTAAGGAAGAGAAGGGAGAAGGAAAAAGGGAAGAAGGAAGGAAAGAGGGAGTGAGAAAGGGCGAAGATGTAGAGAAAGAGTTGGACTAATGACAGAAATTCTTGGAAACAGACAAAATAGAAAGAAAGATAAAGAAAAAAAGGGGATTCACACGGATTACGAGCAGGTCCCTGCCCTGGAAGGAAGAAAGGAAGTAAATGCAAGGAATGCAAGGAATGATAGCAAGAAAAATGAATGAATTAAGTAAAGATGGTAGTGAAGAAGGGGGCAGATGTAGGACAAGAGTGAGGGAATGAAGAGGTACAGATATGAATGAATACAAAAGAGACCAATAATAGAAAGGAAGGAAAGTTAGAGAAGGAAGGAAGGAGAGAAGTAAAGTAAAAACGGGAAAGAAGGAAGGAAAGGGAAGAGAGGAAGGAAGATGTAGAGAAAGAGGGAGGGAAGGAAGAAAAGAGACCAGAAAGAGAAAGAAAAAGGGGGAAGGAAGGAAAGAGATAGAGAAGGAAGAGGAGAAGGAAAGATGGGAGGGAAGAAGGAAGGAGGGAAAGAAGGAGAGAAAGAGGGAAGGTTGGCCACAGCAACGCGTGGCGGGTAAAGTTGTTATTTCTATGATTATTATGATGCTATTATTCCTATGAGACCCTTTTTAGGGGGAATGGGAGAGGTGTCAGGTCCCAGAGGCAATGCATTGCATTATTGTTATTGTTATGATGGTGGTGAAATAAAAGGAAATAAAAAGTGAAAGAAGGAAGCAAACAGGGAGGGAAGAAAGGCAAAGGAAGAAAGGGGGAGGGAATGAAGGAAAGAGAGAAGGATGAAACCAAGTAGTGAAAGAAGGAAAGAAAGAAAGAGGTAGAGAAGGAAGAAAGGAGAGAAAGGGGGAGGAAAAGGGGGAAGGAATAGGTAGGTACCTCTCTTTCATAATAGTCCAGATATCTACCTCAACTTTGATAAGTTTTACTATAGGCCACAGCAACGCGTGGCAGGGCACAGCTAGTATATAGATAGATAGATAATTGTATTCTCAATTAGCTTCTGACACGATAATCATCCCAGGGAGTCTTAAAACCAGCAAGAGGTTTTAAGGCTCTAGCTCAGTGTTTTTCAACCTGAGGGTCAGGACCCCTGGGAGGGGTCATGAGGGGGTTTCAGAGGGGTCACCAAAGAACATCAGAAAACACATATTTCTGACTCGCTGTACCCGCCATAGATTTCTGTGGCCAACCTCCCCTCRCTCTTTCTCTCCTCCTTTCTTTCTCTCCTTCCTTCCTTCCTTCCTTCCTTCCTTCCTTCCTTCCTTCCTTCCTTCCTTCCCTTTTTTCTTTCCTTCTCTCCTTTCCTTCTCTTTGTCTTCCCTTCCTCCCCCCCCCCCGGCTTTTCTTTCCCTTCCTCTTTCTCCCTTTTCTTCCTTCTCTACATATTCTTGGACTGCAACCCCCAGCAGACCTCCTGATCCATCCATCCATCTATCTACCTACCTATCTCTATCTATCTCTCTTGTGATCTATCTATCTTATCTATATGGAGGATTGCTGGGAGTTGCAGTCCAGGAATAGGAAATTGGAAATATTCAGGGATGGGGATGTTCTCAAAGAAATCCAAGGAGAAGAAAGCTTGCAGCTTGGAAGCAGTGCGTTTGGATCATCCTCCTCTCCTAAAGGGTCTGGTCTAGGGGATGCTGGGAGCTGTAGTCCGGAAGAGAGTGTGGATATGCTATTGTGTGTTTTGTTTGCCAGGGGAGTCATTTTGCGCATGCGCTGTAGTGTCTTTTTGTTTTGTTTTTTGTTTCTGTTTTTAAGTCTCTTCTGCTGTGTTTTTCAGTGTTTTTATGAGTGATGGTCACTCATTGGCCCGATACGTGTATTGTGTCCAAATTTGGTGTCAATTCGTCCAGTGGTTTTTGAGTTATGTTAATCCCACAAACAAACATGACATTTTTATTTATATAGATAGATGGTCTTAGGAACCCTTTTGGTAGAGAAGGCTGAAAATCTCTCTGCCTGTCCTTCTCTTCCTTTTTGGAAACAGACGGCAAACCTTCCCACCAAAAGCCCTCCTCCTGCTCTCTGGATGAAGGTGAACTAACACTCCAAAACACAAAGTCAATGCCCATCAAACCCATCCAGTATTTTCCATTGGTCATGGGGATTCTGTGTGGAACTATTGGCCCAATTCTATCATTGGTGGGGTTCCGAATGCTCTTTGATTGTAGGTGAACTACAAATCCCAGCAACTGCAACTCCCAAATGGCACAGTGTATTTTCCCCAAACTCCACCAGTGTTCATATTTGGGCATATTGAGTATTTGTGCCAAGTTTGGTCCAGATCCATTATTGTTTGAGTCCACAGTGCTCTCTGGATGTAGGTGAGCTACAACTCCAAAACCCAAGGTCAATAATAATAATAATAATAATAATAATAATAACAACACTTTATTTGTACCCCGCTACCATCTCCCCAAGGGACTCGGTGCGGCTTACATGAGGCCGAGCCCAAACACAACAATACAAGCAATAATCACAACAATACAAGCAATTAAAATAAAAACATAGACAATAAACATATAACATTATCAATAAGACAACATACAATTAAAACTGTAGGAAGGCCAAATGTAAAATTAAAATTTGAAATAGTTCTGAAGCATGGACTAAAAGGTGATAGTGGCATTTGTGGAAAGACATACGAGCAGACCTAAAAATGTAAAGTGCTTTGGAGGGACAAAGTGCTATGGGATCATTATTCCGGGAAGGCACACTGGAACAACCATGTCTTCAAGCTCCTCCTAAAGACTGCCAGGGTTGGGGCCTGCCTGACGTCCTTAGGGAGTGAGTTCCAGAGACGAGGGGCCACCACTGAAAAGGCCCTTTCTCTCGCCCCCACCAATCGCGCCTGCGATGCTGGTGGGATCGAGAGCAGGGCCTCTCCAGATGAACGAAGAGATCGTGTGGGTTCGTATACAGAGATGCGGTCACGCAAGTAGGCGGGTCCCAAACCATTCAGGGCTTTGAAGGTAAGAACCTGCACCTTGAATTGGGTCTGGTAGATAAATGGCAGCCAGTGGAGCTCCTTGAACAGGAGGGTTGACCGCTCCCTGTAAGGAGCCCCAGTTAACAACCTGGCTGCCGCCCGTTTGATCATCTGAAATTTCCAGGCCATTTTCAAGGGTAGCCCCACGTAGAGTGCATTGCAGTAATCCAGTCTAGAGGTGACTAATGCGTGGACCACCTTGGCCAGATCTGCCTTCCCGAGGTACGGTCGCAGTTGGTGCACGAGTCTTAATTGTGCAAAGGCCCTCCCGGCTACCACCGACGCCTGAGCTTCAAACGTAAGTGATGAATCCAGGAGGACCCCCAAACTGCGGACCTGTGATATCAGGGGGAGTGCAACCCCGTCCAGCACAGGTTGCCACCCTATACCCCGGTCCGGTTTACGATCTACCAGGAGGACCTCTGTCTTGTCGGGATTAAACTTCAGCTTGTTCATCTTCATCCAGACGGCCACAGCAGCCAGGCACTCGTCTAGCACTTGAGGGGCTTCCTTGGAATTAGGTGGAAAAGAGTAGCAGAGTTGTGTGTCATCTGCGTAGAGATGGCACCCAACTCCAAAACTCCGGATGACCTCTCCCAGCGGTTTCATGTAGATGTTAAAAAGCATGGGAGACAAAATGGATCCTTGCGGGACCCCACAGGTCAAAGTCCAGGGGTCAGAGCAGGCGTCTCCCAGCTTCACCATCTGGGATCGACCCTCCAGGAAGGACCGGAGCCACGACAAGGCCGTACCTCCAAGGCCCATCCCGGAGAGTCGTCCCAGAAGGATACCATGATCGATGGTATCGAAAGCCGCTGAGATGTCCAAGAGAACCAACAGGGTCACACTCCCCCTGTCCAGCACCCTACGGAGATCATCCACCAAGGCGACCAAAGCCGTCTCAGTGTCATGGCCAGGTCTGAAGCCAGACTGTGACTGATCTAGGTAGTTGATGTCATCCAGGAAGCCCACCAAATGCCCACCAAACCCTTCCAGTATTTTCCATTGGTCATGGGGGTTCTGTGTGGGACATTTGGCCCAATTCTATCATTGGTGGTGTTCAGAATGCTCTTTGATTGTAGGTAAACTATAAATCCCAGCAACTGCAACTCCCAAATGGCTCAGTCTATTTTCCCCAAACTCCACTAGTGTTCACATTTGGGCATATTGAGTATTTGCTCCAAGTTTGGTCCAGATCCATTATTGTTTGAGTCCACAGTGCTCTCTGGACGTAGGTGAACTACAACTCCAAAACTCAAGGTCAATGCCAATCAAACCCTTTCAATATTTTCTGTTGGTCAGGGGAGTTCTGTGCGCCGAGTTTGGTTCAATTCCATCATTGGTGGTGTTCAGAATGCTCTTTGATTGTAGGGAAACTATAAATCCCAGCAACCACAACTCCCAAGTGACAAAATCAATTCCCCCAACCCTAGCAGTATTAAATTAGGTATTATTTGCGCCAGATTTGGTCCAGTGAATGAAAATACATCCTGTATATCAGATATTTACATGACGATTCATAATAGGAGCAAAATTTGAGTTATGAAGAAGCAACGAAAACAATGTGATGGTTTGGGATCAGCACAACATGAGGAACTGGATTCAAGGGTTGAGAGACACTCCTTGTCGATGACGTCACGGGGCGGTGCCACAGATCCTCCTCCTGAGTTTGGGGCGGAGCGAAGAAGGGGCGGGGACGCCTCCCTGACACTGAGGAGAGAGGGCAGCCAAGATGGCAGCCTCCAGAGCTGCTGCTGCTGCTTTTTGCCGGCGCTCGGCTGCTCGGCCCGGGCGGCTCCTTTGGCGGGGCCTGTGCAGCCAGGAGCCCGACCGAGAGACCCACTTCGGCTTCCAGACCGTGTCCGAGGCGGAGAAAGGAGAGAAAGGTTAGCGGAGGGCAGAGAAGGAGGGCAGGGGCCTCACTCAGCAACAGGGCCCAGCCTCCCAAGGCACTCCCAGTGGGGTCAAACGCTCTCGGGTCGTAGGCAAGGGAGGCAATCGACCTTTTCACGTGTGTACATTTCCGGGTTTTGCATCGTATCGAAATGCTTTTCATGTGAGCCCCTTTGAGACGTCCTTGTGGAGAGAAATAAACTTAAAAAGAATAGGAATAATCATCTGCAAAGTTTTCAGATGACCCCAAATGGGGAGGGAGAGCGAATCCTCCAGAGGACAGGATCACAATTCAAAATGACCCTAACAGATTAAAGAGCTGATTGGCCAAAACTAACAAAATGAATGTCAATGTATTGTCGAAGGCTTTCATGGCTGGAATCACTAGGTTCTTGTAGGTTTTTTCGGGCTATAGGGCCATGTTCTAGAGGCATTTCTCCTGACGTTTCTCCAATTTCCGTGTGTCTTGGAACAGTTTCTCCCCGTAGAGATGTTCAATGTATTGTCGAAGGCTTTCATGGCTGGAATCACTAGGTTCTTGTAGGTTTTTTCGGGCTATAGGGCGAAACTATGGAGAAACTAAGGACCAGGAAAGCACATCTACTGTGCTCCCTGACTTTCCTTCTATGTTGCAGAGACACAGATACCATCCCACAATTTCTCGCAGCCAAAAGGACTTTCAAAACACCACAGGCTCACCGGATCTATGACCGCCTAGAACGCAACCTCTTACGAGAGAGAATTCACACCATCCGCAAAGAACTCGCAGACAAGGAACTGCTGCACCTCCATATCAACATCAGCCAGAAGCTCAACAGAACATTTTCCCAGGCTCAGCCAAGCCTTCAAATGCTAATGAAAGTGGTCAGCTGAAACATTCACACCTAGCTTCAGCAGAGAGCTCTTTGCCCCACCCCAGTCATTCCACAGATATATAAACCCATTTTCCTATTTCCAACAGACCTCACTACCTCTGAGGATGCTTGCCATAGATGCAGGCGAAACGTCAGGAGAAATGCCTCTAGAACATGGCCCTATAGCCCGAAAAAACCTACAAGAACAAAATGAATGTCAATAAGGACAAGTGTCAGATAGGACACTTAGGCAGAAAAAGTGAAATGCAAAGATGCAGAATGGGGGATGGCCGGCTTGACTACAGAGAAAGATCACAGAGTCTTCATGGACAACAAGTTGAACATGAGCCAAGAGTGGGAGGCAACAGCTCAAAAAGCCAATGGGATTTGGGGCCTTATCAAAAGGAGTCTAGTGTCTAGATCAGGTATGGGCAAACTTTGTCCCTCCAACTGTTTGTAAGGAATTGTGGGAGTTGAAATCCAAAACATCTGAAAGGCCAAAGTTTACCCCTGCCTGGTCTAGATCAAGGGAAATTATGGTGCCTCTCTATTAATAAAATAGTAAGACCTGGTGGCGCAGTGGGTTAGACTGCTGAGCTGTTGAACTTGTTGACTGAAAGGTTGCAGTTTCGAATCCAGGGAGCACCGTGAGCTCCCGCTGTCAGCCCCAGCTTCTGCCAACCTAGCAGTTCAAAAACATGCAAATGTGAGTAGATCAATAGGAGCAAAGGTAAGGGCGCTCCATGCAGTCATGCTGGCCACATGACCTTGGAGGTGTCTACGGATAACGCCGGCTCTTCGGCTTAGAAATGGAGATGGGCACCCCACAGTCAGACACAACTGGACCTAATGTCAGGGGAAAACCTTTTTTAACCTTAAGATTTTATTTGTATTCCATTCTATCTCCCATAAGAGATACAGGGCAGATTCAAACTAACAAAAAACACAGAGGCAAACATTCAATTTATTCTGCTTAGATCTTTTTCCTTGGAATAACACTGCATCCAGTTCTGGACACCACAGTTTCAAAGAGATATTGATAAGTTGGAAGATATCCAGAGAAAGGGGGCAACTAAAATGATCAAAGGTCTGGAGACCATGAATAATCCCTCTGAGGAGCATCTTAAAGTACTGGGTATGTTTAGCATGCAGAAGAGAAGGCTGAGAAGGAGACATGAGAGCTATGTTTAAATATGTGAAAGGATGCCATACGGAAGAGGGAGCTGCTACATGGCATCCCACAAGGTGCCATTCTATCCCCAATGCTCTTTAATATTTACACGAAACCGCTAGGATTGATCATCTGTAGGCATGTGGCAGGGTGTTATCAGTATGTTGAGACACCCAAATATATTAAATATATTTCTCCGTGCCTTTAAAAAGAGCTTCAGCTAAGGATAGCGTGTCTCCTCTGAATGAATGCCTGGAGGAGGTAATGGGCTGTATGAGAAACAACAAATTGAAACTGAATCCAGACAAAACAGAGAGACTTGCCATTAAGGGTCCTAATCTGGGGATGGAGGTGTGTCAACCAATTCTGGATGGGCTCCCACTCCCCCAAAATACTGTATCTGCAGCTTGGGACATAGGATCCTGGATCCGTCTCTTCAAATGTCAGCCCAGGGAGATGCGACAATGATCAGGAGTGCTTATTGGGAGCTTCGGCTGATCTGCCAGCTCTGCCCCTTCCTAGATTTGGAGGGGATTGGTTGTAGGAACATCCAGGAGTGAACTTATTACACCTATACTAAAGTCACTCCATTGGATTCCAATTGGTTTCAGGGCAAACTACAATATGTTGTTTTTGACCTTTAAAGCCCTTCATGATTTGGGTCCAGGTTACCTACAGGATCACCTTCTACCCTACAATCCGGCCCAAAGACTTAGGTCCTCTGGGGGGTGTCTACTCCAGCCTGCCAGAACCCAACTGGCTACTATCACCCAGAGGACCTTTTAATCGGTCTCCCCAAGAAGACTGTGGAACCTGCCAAAGGAAGAGGTCCCACAGTTAAATGAGCTGTCGGAATTTTAAAATCATCTACAGACCTATCTCTTCCGGCAGGCCTACCCAGCCAGTTTTAATCACTAATTTTAAATGAGTGTCTTATGTTTAATCCTTGTTCTGTGTATTTTAATATGTATTTTGTAGAAATATGTTTTAATATGTGTATTTGTAGAATGTTTTTAGATGATTATGTGTTTTTAGTGATGTTGTAACTTGTCTCGAGTCATGAGGAGAGGCGGGTAAGAAATATTATTATTACTATTATTATTCTCAGATCAGAGACACTAAGGGGGAAAGATGTGGGTGAGGAATCTAACAAGCATTACCATATTTTAAACACTCAATTTCAGTGTACCAGATTTTTGAGAACGTGGCCAAGAAGTATGACCTCATGAACGACACTATGACTCTGGGGGTCCATCGGGTTTGGAAGGACGTCCTGCTGCAATACATGAACCCGTATCCCGGGGCACAGTTACTTGATGTCGCCGGCGGGACAGGTGAGCTTGGTGCCTTTCTCAGGCATCTTACAAACGAGGGCTTTAGGACAGCATTGCAGCTTTATTTATTTGGGGTAAAGGAGTATATCTCACTTGTCTTAACTGGCAGATTTCTGGAATCATAAAACAGCATTCGCATTCCTAGATTTAAAAGGGTTTGGTGTCTATATCAGAAATCAGCTCCTTTGTTAGTTGCTTTACTCCCAAGTACGTTTGCCGAAGCCCAAATCGCATTGCACAGAAGCCATGTATAATAGCAGATTCGAAATGTATGATCTCTAGTCCTCTGCCTCTTTCTTCTCAAGACTATGGGCCATTGAATACTTCTATCCGGTTTAGCTTTCTGAGCCAGAAGAGATGTAGAGAAAGCATGGCAGAGATGGTGCACATTCCCCTCCAGGTGACTCTTCCTTTCGAAACACACACAGGTGACATCGCCTTTCGCTTTCTCAACTCGGTCCGTTCCCATAGGGAACATCAAGTCCGACAGAAACTGAGATCCCACCAGAATCTGTCATGGCAGGAGATTACCAAGCTTTACGAAGAAGAGGAGCAGCAGTCGCTGGGCGGATCCCACGTGGTGGTCTGCGACATCAACACAGAAATGCTCAAGGTTGGGAAGAAGAAAGCACAGCACCTTGGCTACTCAGAAGGTAAGGGGATTCCTGCAAAGGAATTGTAACCAGGAAATGGGAGAGGTAGAGAGATTAGCCATGTATATCTAGGCTGCCTTAATCCCAAAAGAGACCACTATCTGTCTGTCTAGGAGCCAAATAATTTGTCCAATATTCCTTTGAAGGACTGTCCTGGGTGATCGGCAATGCCGAGGAGCTGCCCTTCAACGACGACAACTTTGACATTTACACAATTGCTTTTGGTATACGGAACGTCACTCACATGGACCAGGTAAGCATGGACCCCATTGGTTGGAATGTACTGAATGTGATGCTTTTAAGAGCAGTTTGCTCAGCTGGCTCACTCCCATCAAAGACCAAGTAGTCATGTAGTGTTCTGTTTTCAGCAATCACTGGGCCAGTACCACTAGGAATTCAAGCATAAACTGATAATCGTGCTGGCATCGCACATGGAAGGGGGCTGATGTCTTTTGAAAGTGCTCTTTATAATTGCAGAGGTTTATTGATATGGAAAGGGTCACCTCTTATACCTGTTATCCTGCCCCCAACTCTCAAAATCGGGAATCAGCTGCGCCAAGCATCAGCACCAAATTCTTGATCTCATCTTTCCTTTACAAAAATCTTGTCTTCTTCCAGGCCCTTCAGGAGGCCTATCGAGTGCTGAAACCCGGAGGGCGGTTTCTTTGTCTGGAATTCAGTCATGTTAGTAACTCCATCATTTCAAGGTCTGTAAAGGTTTATTTTCCCCTCACTTTCATGAGTAACACTTAAACCACACTAGACCTTGTAAAACTGGTTTCTCTTCATTTAGATTTTCTGCAGAGTTTTGGACAGTAGGGTAGAGTTATATTTAGATTTCCCTCAGAACAATTCTTTTAGTGAAGTCCTGTTCTCTGCTTTCCCTGAATTATTCTCAGCCCTGAAAACATTTAGGTCAACTCTCCCTCCTCTAAGAATTGGGCTCTGTACCCAGATTAAGTTGGAAGGGCAGAAGACTATCTTTAATTAATGATTAAGGGGGAGAAGATAGGTTTTTAACCAACTAAGTATGAACCGATTGTTTGGCAATCGGTCTTTGCTCTTGCTGGTCAAACCAAGGATGCACAATGGGATGCAGCAGCTAAAAAAAGCCAATGGGATTTTGGGCTGCATCAAAGGGGGTATAGTTTCTTGATCGAGGGAAGTCATGGTGCTTCTCTATTCTGCTTTGGTCAGACCTCTTTACCTGGATTCTCTGCACCACAGTTTAAGAGAGATATTGACAAGCTGGAAGGTGTCCAGAGGAAAACAACTAAAAGGATCATAGTTCTGGAGACCATGAATAATCCCTATGAGGAGCGTCTTAAAGAACTGGGTCTGTTTAGCCTGCAGAAGAAAAGTTTGAGGAGACATGAGAGCCATGTATAAATATGTGAAAGATTGTCATAAGGAGGAGGGAGCAGGCTTGTTTTCTGCTGCCCTGGAGACTAGAACTCAATGGAACAATGGGTTCAAACTATAGAAAAGGAGATTCCACCTGAACATTAGGAAGAACTTCCTGACTGTAAGAAGAGCTGTTCAGCAGTGGAACTCTCTGCTTCAGAGTCTGGTGGAAGCTCCTTCCTTGGAAGCTTTTAAACAGGGGCTTGATGGCCATCTGTTGGGGGTGCTTTGAATATGCTTTTCCTGCATGGCATGTGGTCTCTTCCATCTCTATGTTTCAATGAAAGCAGTGTCCAAGGGTCATACACAAGGAATGGAGGTAATGGCATTAAAGCTCTTTTAGCAAATCAAGCCTAGATTTTGGATCTTGAAGAGAAAAAAAATTTCTCTCAATGCCATTGTTTGAACTTGCCTTTTGACTCTCTACGCATGTTAAGGAAGCAGATGTACCTACTTTCAATCTGATTTAACCTGCTTTGTTTGCTTTCAGTTTATACGATCTGTATAGCTTCCAGGTGATTCCTGTGTTGGGTGAAGTTATTGCTGGCAACTGGAAGGCTTACCAGTATCTGGTTGAGAGCATCAGGCGCTTTCCTACCCAGGTAAAAAGCCCTCCAGGCCAAGGCTCCGCATCCGATTGAAACACCTTCCTGAAAATGAATCTGGTTGTTTTGGGCTCAGGCAAAGCGGGTGGGGTGGGTGCCTTGGCACTAGACTGGAAATCAAGTTGTCCACTTATGGCAAGGACACTGAGGAAAGCTGGAATCCAAGCAACCATTTTAATAATGCCAATGTCCCTATGACTTTATTTCAGGAAGAATTCAAGGAGATGATTGAAGATGCAGGCTTCCTGAAGGTGCAATATCAAAACCTGAGCTCAGGCATTGTGGCCATTCATTCGGGTTTCAAGCTGTGATGTTATTTTCTGATGCTAGCAATTCACCCCGTCGGCCTTCCAGCAAACACAGTGCCAATGAGAAGCTGATCCCTTGGAAGCATCAATATTGCAAGCCTTGGAAGGGGCAGCTGGTCAAGTGTCTCTTTGTTGTGCTGGATGGCAACACTCCAAGGCCTCTACCATTTGAAACAGACTTGAGAAAAATCACTTTTATATCCCATTAGGGTTTTTTAGGAGAACGGTTTCATTCTAAGGTTCCAAGAGTTCTTTTTCTACTGAACGTAGCAGTGGGTACCAAAGAAAAGACAAACTGGCCTGTAAAAGTCTGTATTTCTAAGTAGGTTTGATCTATTCTGTCATCACAGATAGGAACAAGAGTGATATTTTTTTGATATGCTTATTAAAAATATTTAGGTTTTCAGATTTTTCTTGTTTTGTTCCAACGTGTGACATCTTGTCATAGCACTCTCTTATGCCGAGATATGTTTGTGGAACCCTTGCATTGCTTCGCGAGATCATGGTAAAGCTTTAATCTCTTGCCTCCATTTTGAAGATCATTTCTCATCAGTTGTGCCACACAGCAGCGGCATGCATTACTAGATAACTTAAACCACCACAAACCTAGCATTTTAACTAAAGCTATGTAATAGAAATGTTTACCATGAATCCAGAAAAAAAAATCTCCATGCTTCTTTCTAGTATAAAGCAATGGTTAGATTGTGCTCTTCAGAGTAAAGAACCCTGCGAGTCCCTATGATGCTTATCAATGCAAGACATAGCCTGTTCTGTCCCTTCGGCATGAAACAGCACAGCTGGAAACTCAAATTAATGTTAACTTCCCCCAAAGTAGAGCCCCCAATGTTAAATTACACTTGCTAATCGTTATTTATGCAACCAGCAAATAATTTGTTATTTATGCAACCAGCCAAATAAAATGTGTCCGTTTTATTTAGATTTAGTGCTTAGTGATATTCAGACTATTATATGTATGATTACTCCTATGAGCCAGAAGGTATTTCAGTGACTGCATAGTCTTCAGTAAGGGTGGAAAAAAATGAGGGATATTTAAATAACTTGCATTAAACAATGCCGGGGGGGGGGGGGGATTCCTATAAATTAGCTGGGCTATGTACAGGAGCTACTATAGTAATTGAGTATTCCCACTGAGTATTCCCAACCATTTTATTAGGAAAAGGAACCAACACTTGTCTTTTTAGAAAGAAATACATAGTCTTTTTTTTTTTTTGCTATTTTTTTATGGCCACAACAAAACCACAAATTGGTACAGAGGAGTACCTGTCCATTAAAACAAAAGGCTTAAAGAACCAAAGTGTGTTCCCTGGGGAAGGCTGAAGACATCAGTCTATTTGGAATTAGCGTGTTCGTCCCGTCACCAAACGCATCTTCGGGTGGAACAGTCCCATTATCTAACCGGACTTGAACAGGAGGATGGCAACTTGACCCAGGTAGAAGTAGATGAAGTGTTTGGTCTCGTGAGTGACATAGCTGCCAAAGTTTCTTCCCACAATGCAGTGCCAAGTTGGGTTGTACTTCTTGTCAAACTCCTGCAAGAGAGACCACTCAAGAGCTTAGCATCACAGAGCTTAACAGAAGCTAAATAGGCTGAGGGGAGGCCGTTTTGGGAGAAAAATGCTGAAGATCTGCAAGGATTTTCTGTACAGACTCAGCGAGGCCAAAGGAAGAAAAGCGCTACAACAGTCCTTTCTGAGTATCTAATTCAGTAGATCACTTCACTTCAAATTGATATATTTTGAAGAATAAAGTGAAGGGATTGAAGTTTTCAATGAATAAACATTCTTTCTGCCCTGAATCCCTCCCTTTCTTTTGAAATAAGGGCAATTGGTTTCCTCCAGTGGGGATAAGGTCATTTGTGTTTCTCCTGCCCCCGCATCCTTGAGGAACAAGCCCCTCTGTTCTGACACAATGTGGGCTGGTACGTTTCAGGCTGCCAAGTGCAAACGGCTCCAGATGCTTGTCAGCCTTTTAGGATGATCACAGCCCACCCACATGGTGAGCAAGCGGCAGGAAAGGGGGGTACTTTCTCAACCCCCCCCCTTGGTGGGGGCCACCTCCTCTGGGCCTGGAGCCACAAAAGGCCGTCCATTGTTCCCTCACAGTTCTCTCTCTTGCCCTCAAGATTCTAAACCATCACCCGTTGGCAACCATGGCCGAGCCTTACCTTCTTGATGTGGGCAGCAATATCCTTCTCGATGTTGTACTTCTCTAAGGCCTGGGTGGCACACTCCACCGAGTCCTGCTGCATCTCCTCAGACATATCCGCATTCTTGATCACGGCCTTGCGGTCACTCATGGTTACCTGCGAGGGTCCCAAAAGTTACACACAGCTAACTAAGCAGTTCCCTGCATATCCACCCCCAAAAGGACCCTGAGCGACCCTTCAAAAGTGGTTCTAGGCCATGACTTAAGGGGCGCCCCGTTCGAAATGCAGGCAGCAAACCTCACGCCATTCATTTCGCCAATTTCATCCTACATTTCAGGACTTGTATCCTCCAGTCACTTGATCCTTTTCCGGTTTCAGAATTGAATGTGAAGTCCCCAAAAGGCCACCCAATCCAACCCCCTTCCRGCCATGCCCAATGTAAAGCCCCCAATGGCTAGAAAACCTGCCTTTTCCTGCCCAGTTTTCATAGATATTTCTTCCAGGAAAATAGTTTCATGTTTTCTTTGGGTTGGGGGGGGGGGTGCACTTTCCCACCACACTCCTATTTTATTCTCGTCGGTGTTTTAACATTTCTACTATTTCTGAATTTTTTTAAGTTCTTGTGTTTGATAGGAAATACAAGAATAGTAGTAATATTTTGGCACATGTTCCTCAAGATGATTATTGTTCTTTTATCCTCATGGCTTGAGAATAATAAAAATATCATTACAATTCATAATAATAGCTAAAATAATATTAATAACAAAATCAAAATATCATTACCATTATTAATAGTGAACTACTCATAATAGCTAAAATAATATGAATAATTGCCACAAATGCCTGTGGAAGAAGTAATAGTAATAATAATAATAATAATAATAATAATAATATTCCTTTATCCTCCTGGCTTGAGAATAATAAAAATCAAAATATAATTACCATGATTAATAATAAAAATATACTTACAATTCATAATAATAATAGCTAAACTATTATGAATAATTGCCCCAAATACCTCCCAACCGACCCCTTCCTCGCATCAATTTTAACTTTAGAATATTATAATAATTATGTCTCTGTGGAAGAAATAATAGAAGAAGATAAAGACACATCTTTATCTAATTGATTGCCCATCTTTCCTCAAGCTGGAGGCATGGCAGTAATAGTAAGAATAGCCAAAATATCATTATTCTCATTAATAATAGTGAAATACTAATTACAATAATTGCTAATATTAATCATTGCTCCAACCGACTCCTTCCTAACACCATTTTAATCTTAATCTGTATAATATAATGATGTCTCTGTGGAAGAAGTAATAGTAATAGTAATAATAATAGAATTATTATTCTTTTATCCTCATGGTTTGAGAACAAAAATCAAAATATAATTTACCATTATTATTAAGAATAGTGAAATACTACTACTCATAATAGCTAAAATAATATGAATAATTGCCCCAAATGCCTCCCAACCAAACCCTTCCTAACATATTATAACAATGATGTCTCTGTGGAAAAAATTATCTTAATAAAATTAACAAGAAGACATATATTCTTATCCTTATCTTATTGGTTGTCTGCCTTTCCTCATGGCTGAAGGTGTGGTGATAATAATAATAATTTATCCTCATTGCTTGAGAATAACAAAAATCAAAATATCATTACAATTACTAATAAAAATAGAATTACAATTCATAATAGCTAAAATAATATGAATAATTGCTCCAAATCCTTTCCAACCGACCCTTCCTAACATCATTTTTAACTTTAGAATATTATAACAATGACGTCTCTGTGGAAGAAGTAATATTAATAATATTAATATTAATAAAATTATTATTCCTTTATCCTCATGGCTTGAAAATAACAAATCAAAATATAATTACCATTATCATGAATAATAGTTTATTTTTATTTATCATTTATCATTATCATGTCAGAAGCAAATTGAGGATACGGTAATAATGTAAAAATCCCAAAGTTAAAAAACCACAAACATAACAATAGTGAAATACTACTACTAATAATAGTGAAATACTATTCCTCATCATAATAGCTAAAATAATATAAATAATTGCTCCAAATGCCTCCCAACCAACCCATGCCTAACATCTTTTTAAACTTTAGAATATTATAATGATGTCTCTTTGGAAGAAATAATTGTAATAAGAATAGGACACATATTCTTATACTTAATTTATTGGTTGCCTGACTTTCCTCACGGCGGGAGGCGTGGTGGTAATAGCCAAAATATTATTATTATTATTATTATTAATAATAATAATAATAATGAAATCATTAAATACTATGTATTATTGCCAATCTTAATCTTTACTCCAAGCGACCCTTTCCTAACCTTATTTTAAACTGTATAATATTATAATAATGGGGTTTCTGTGGAATAATCATAATAATGATTATGATTCCTTTATCCACATGGCTTGAGAATAACAAAAATCAAAATATAATTACATTATTATTAATAGTTAAATATTACTCCTCATAATAATAGGTAATAATTGCTCCAAACGCCTCCCAACCGACCCCTTCCTAACATCATTTTAAACTTCAGATTATAACAATTATGTCTCTGTGAAAGAAATAATAGTCATAATAATGGTCATAGTCATAATAATAATAATAATAAAAAGACAGATATTATCATCCTTATTTTCTTAGTTGCCCTCCTTTCCTCATGGCTAGAGGCGTGGTAATAACAGTAATACCAATCATAAGAAATTATTATTATTATTATTTATTCTTCTGACTTACAAAAATCAAAATATGATTACCACTATTATTGAGAATAACAAAAAAGATATAGAATTGCAACTCAGAATAATAAAGAGGTCTCTTTGGAAGAAATAATAGTAATAACAATAGTGATAAGACACATATTCTTATTTTATTGGTTGCCCGCCTTTCCTTACGGCTGGAGGTGTGGTAATAATAGCTTATTATTATTATTATTATTATTATTATTATTATTATTAATATATTATTATTATTATTATTAATAATAATAATAATAATAGCAAAATACTAATTACAATCATTGGTCCAACCGACCCCTTCCCAACCTCACTGGTAACTTTAGAATAGTTTTAGGTCTTTCTTTCGAGGCCTTTTTCAACCCCTTCCACGTGAAGGGGGAGTTTCAATGGGACTGCAAAGGCTTTGGAGGGGAAAGGACCAGCCAAACGCGCGTTCCGACGGAGAAGAAGACCAGCTCCGCGCGGCGAACGGCTGAAAGGCGAAAAGAGGGCCTCCCGTGGCCTCCCCCCGGGCCGTGGGCTCACCGTCTGCCGCTGGGCTGCTTCCGAGGACGGCGGGAAGGGACTCTGACGGAGCGGGCGACACCGCTGGCCCTTCGCTGGACCCCTACGCCCTCGCTGGCCTTTTCCACCGCGCGCGCGCTCACTCGACACAACCGCCCGCCTCGCCCTCAGCGCCGCCCCTCACCCTTCCGCCCCGTCATTGGCTACGACAACAATACGCCGCGGCGCTCATTGGCTGCCCCGCCTCCGCCTCCCGGAGAGTTTTATTGTTGCATTTTGTTGCGGGCCGGCATGCACCGCGCTGGCGTCCGTTGCCCCGGCGACGGCGTGGGAGGGGCATCTCTCATTTCATCTCAGCACTAGGCCTCTGACTCCCAGATCCCCAGTTAGCTTCCTCAAGCGTCAGGGATTCTAGGAGTTAGAGGCCCAAACAACTATTAGTTAACAACCACCATGTCAGGCTACACAGAGAAGCCATTGAGATTTATTTATTTACTTCATTTGTATTATAATTATTTATTTACTTCATTTATATTATTACATCTCCCGAAGAACTCGATGCGGTTTACAAAGGCCAAGGCCTCAAAACACAACATAACAATACAACACCTAAAGCAAATTAAAAACAATTAAAGCAATATTAAACAAGCAATAAACGATATTTATTTATTTATTTATTTATTCCGGTTGCCTTCTCGCCCCTTAGGGGACTCAGGGCGGCTTACAAAAGCAAGGCACAATTCAATGTATTGTCGAAGGCTTTCATGGCTGGAATCACTAAGTTCTTGTGGGTTTTTTCGGGCTATATGGCCATGTTCTAGAGGCATTTAGGTGCCTATGAACCCACCAGGACTTTGAGATCTTCCGGGGAGACCCTGCTCTCGATCCCGCCTGCTTCTCAAGCTCGGCTGGCGGGGATGAGAGATAGGGCCTTCTCGGTGGTGGCTCCTCAGCTGTGGAACGCCCTTCCTACGGACATTAGACTAGCACCATCTCTAATGGTATTCCGCAAAAAAGTGAAGACCTGGCTGTTTGAGCAGGCGTTCGAATAATTAGTGCAATGATTGCTTAATGAACACTGAAAAGGAACAATGGATGACGAATCTGGAACATGTTTTTGATGACGAGACGACAGTGAATGGGTATTGTAGTAACTGTTTATTAATTGTGTAATGTGTTAGGTTGTTAACTGTTTCTATACTGTAGCACTGAATTTTTGCTGTTCGTATTTGTTGTGAACCGCTGTGAGTCGCCTTCGGGCTGAGAACAGCGGTATATAAGTAAGGTAAATAAATAAATAAATAAATAAATTTCTCCTGACATTTCACCTGCATCTATGGCAAGCATCCTCAGAGGTAGTGAGGTCTGTTGGTAGTAGGAAAAGGGGTTTATATATCTGTGGAATGACCAGGGTGGGACAAAGGACCCTTGTCTGCTGGAGCTAGGTGTGAATGTTTCAACAGACCTCACTACCTCTGAGGAGGCCTGTAGAGCCCAGTTGAGGTGGTTCAGTTCATCTTGGAGTGGGGTTCACAGATTCTTTTTGCACGGTCTGCCAAGGCTTTAATGGTGCTTCTTTTTTGACTTGGGTGATGGTTGGAGTTTTTATGTAGATATCTATCTGTGTGTGTGGGTTTTCTGGATATTCCACCTCAGACATCAGAAGAGCTGCAAGACCAAGAACAAGCCACGAGAGTAAAGATGAAGATCCACCCAGAGGAAAAGTGTTCCTGCCATACATCAAGGGAACCACTGACCGCATAGGGAAGCTGATGAGGAAACACAACATACAAACAATCTACAAACCCACCAAGAAAATCCAACAAATGCTACGTTCAGCAAAGGGCAAGAGGGATCCTCTCACCTCTGCAGGAGTCTACTGTGTACCATGCAGCTGTGGACAAGTCTACCTAGGGACCACCAAACGCAGCGCCCAAACAAGAATCAAGGAACATGAAAGGCACTGCAGACTACTTCAGCCAGAGAAATCAGCCATAGCAGAGCACCTGATGAACCAACCTGGACACAGCATTTTATTTGAGAACACAAAAATGCTGGACCACTCTCACAACCACCATGTCAGACTACACAGAGAAGCCATTGAAATCCACAAACATGTGGACAATTTCAACAGAAAGGAAGAAACCATGAAAATGAACAAGATCTGGCTACCAGTACTAAAAAATTCTAAAATTGCAACAGCAAAAACAGCAGAGAGGAAACAGGCAGGGACATCTAATTACCTTTCAAGAAGAGTTTGCTCCAGGCACAGTCAGCCCATTGTATGCTAATCAAGGTGGTCAGTTGAAACATTCACACCTAGCTCCAGCAGACAAGAGTCCTTTGTCCCACCCTGGTCATTCCACAGATATATAAACCCTTTTTCCTACTACCAACAGACCTCACTACCTCTGAGGATGCTTGCCATAGATGCAGGCGAAATGTCAGGAGAAATGCCTCTAGAACATGGCCATATAGCCCAAAAAAACCCACAAGAACTTAAGGCACAATTCGATGCCCGCATCACATAACAGCAATAAGACAAATAACATCAGTTAACAGAAAACAGCAATTCTAGCAATAACATCAATTAACAGAAAACAATAATTATTGTAAGGCAAAAACAACCATAAAACCAATAAAAGCAATAAAACCAATACAAACCATTTCTCCTCATTGACGGTCAGCGTTTCAAAACTCATAGTTCAAATTCCAATTCCACAATTGTCAGTCCTTTCAGTCCTATCCATCTGGTTGTCCATATCTAGTTGTCAGATTGCCCAAAGGCCTGGTCCCACAACCACGTCTTTACCTTCCTCCTGAAGGAGAGGAGGGATGTTGATGCCCTAATTTCCCCCGGGAGTGAGTTCCACAGGTGAGGGGCCACCACTGAGAAGGCCCTGCTCCTCGTCCCCACCAACCTCACTTGTGATAGCGGTGGGGTCGAGAGCAGGGTCTCCCCAGATGATCTCAAATTCCAGAGTGGGACGTAGAGGGAGATACGTTCAGACAGATACACTGGACTGGAACCGTAAAGGGTTTTGTAGGTCAAAACCAGCACCTTGAATTGTGCTCGGAACTGAACCGGCAGCCAGTGGAGCTGACACAGCAGGTGGGTGGTGTGCTCCCTGTATGATGCTCCGGTGAGTAATCTGGCTGCCGCTTGCTGGACCAGTTGAAGTTTCCGAACAGTCTTCAAGGGCAACCCCACGTAGAGTGCGTTGCAGTAGTCTATTCGGGATGTAACAAGAGCGTGGACCACTGTGGCCAGATACATCAAGACACTATAAAACATTTATATACCGCTTTTCTCAGCCCTCAGGCGACTCAAAGTGATTCACAACAGCAAAATTCAATGCTAAACATCATAAAACAATTAAGGGACAGTTAAAACAATAGCATCATCACAATTAAACATCAATATTTATTTATTTATTTCGGGTACTTTTACCCCGCCCTTCTCAACCCCCGAGGGGGAACTCAGGGCGGCTTACAAAAAAGGCACAATTCGATGCCTACATAGAATACATATACATATAAATCAGCCATCAACAATTATCACAATTAAAACAGTCAGTATATAACACAATCAATAAAAATAAAACACAATCAATGAAAACAAATCTCAAGCTCAGCGTTCGTCTTTCAGAGTTCCATAATTCCATTCCACTTTGTCAATTCCTGTCCATCGTCGAGAACCTTCTTTATCTGCCCAATTGACCGAATGCCTGGTCCCAAATCCATGTTTTCAGTTTTTTCCTGAAGGAAAAGGTGGGATGTCGCTGTTCTAATTTCCCCAGGGAGTGAATTCCATAGGCAGGGGGCCACCACCGAGAAGGCCCTGCTCCTCGTCCCCGCCAATCTCACTTGTGATAGAGGCAGGGTCGAGAGCAGGGCCTCCCCAGAACATCTTAGACTCCGAGGTGGGACGTAGAGGGAGATCCGTTCGGACAGATACACTGGGCCGGAACCGTATAGGGTTTTGTAGGTCAAAACCAGCACTTTGAATTGTGCTCGGAACTGGATTGGCAGCCAGTGGAGCTGACACAACAGGGGGGGTGGTATGCTCCCTGTATGACACTCAGGTGAGCAAACTGGCTGCCTCTCGCTGCATCTATGGCAAGCATCCTCAGAGGTAGTGATAATTAGCATCTCATCAGTAGAATCAGAATCCAATCTCATCATCCGTTATTCCATGTTCTTATATTCATTACACTGCTTAATCGAATGCCTGTTCGAATAGCCAGGTCTTCACTTTCCTCCGAAACGCCAATAGGGAGGGGGCCAATCTGATATCTGTAGGAAGGGCGTTCCACAGCCGAGGGGCCACCACTGAGAAGGCCCTGTCTCTCGTTCCAGCCAGGCGCGCCTGTGATGCAGGCGGGACTGAGAGCAGGGCCTCCCCAGATGATCTTAATGTCCTAGTTGTTTCATAGGAGGAGATGCGTTCGGAGAGGTAAGTAGGGCCAGAACCGTTTAGGGCTTTATTTGAAATCCACAAGCATGTGGACAATTTCATTTCAAACCATGAAAACGAACAAAATCTGGCTACCAGTATTAAAAAACTCTAAAATTAAAACAGCAAAACAACAGAAGGGAAACAAACAGGCACATCTAATCACCTCACAACAAAATATTTCCCCAGGCACTGCCAGGCTATCAAATGCTAATCAAGGTGGTCAGTTGAAACATTCACACCTAGCTCCAGCAGACAAGAGTTCTTTGCCCCACTCTGGCCATTCCACAGATATATAAACCCACTTTCTTAGTTCCAATAGACCTCACTACCTCTGAGGATGCTTGCCATAGATGCAGGCGAAACGTCAGGAGAAAATGCCTCTAGAACATGGCCATATAGCCCGAAAAAACCTACAACAACCCAGTGATTCCGACCATGAAAGCCTTCGACAACTATTATTTATTTATTTTATTTAGTACATTTCCATACCGCCCCCCTCAACCTTCCGGCGACTCGAGGCGGTTTACAAGGCAAGAATTCAATGCCACCAAGGACACAATTACAATATACAATATAAAAAACATCAGCAACAATAAAATCAAACATTATAATGAAACATATTTCAATCGATAATCATTAAAACAATGTCCAGTTCCGCCATATAGTTATTCTGTTATTATATCCGTTACTCCGTATTTTCA